GGTATATCTTAGAGTTCTTCTAGATATCCTTAACAATATACATCATTTTCGTAATCATCATTATATCCATTTTTAATCATGATTTAATCAATAATCATACTAATCAGTAGGTTAATCATTCATAATTGGCCACAATAATAGTTCATCATAATGATCATTCAACATAACATTTAATAACAATTAGCGGCCTAGTCTCGAGTGTTAACACCCAAACTTACCGTCATGCATCACATAAGATTTTAATTTATTAAAAGCATCATTTTTATTGTGAAAAATAATTTTTATAATGATCATAATCAATTGGTATCAAAAATAGGATTTTAGAACTCAAAAATAGCATTTTTCGTAGTTGACTGTCTTCAGAACGGTCGACCGTTTCAAGTGACGGTCGACCTTCATTGCCTCCGTTGTACTAAAGCCACTGGTCTGGTAACGGTCGACCGTGGTGACGGTACGATCGACCGTTGCTGCCTTACATTAACAGTACTTCGTCTTCAACCTCGGTTCCAATTTTCGAAACATCATTTTAAGTCACCAAACATCAATTAAACTACATAGAAATGTTCCCCAATGTTCATAGATCATTTAAATACCATTAATTCAAAGTTTTAACAACAATTTCAAGGTTTATGATTCTTGGTTTTTTCAAGCATGTCAAACACAAAACTCAACCAAATGACCATCTATGAACGTAGAAACGACCTATATGAACATTCTAGTCATTAGATATATCTACGGGCTTACCTTAACTCCGGCGACCTTTCACCAAATTGATAGCACCAGAGTGTTCTCCTTTCTCAGAGCAGCAGAATAGAGGAAAAAATAGGATGTTTTGGTGTAGAATAGAGGGAGTTAGGTGTGGTTATGTAGGAAGGAAGAAGAGGAAGATGCCAAGGTTCACTCCTGTTTGTGCGGCCGAGTGGAGTGAACAGCGATTGTGTAGGATTTCAAACGCAAGTCCCTGATTGGGACTAATTTCAGTCCCAGTCGGGGTACACTTTTTGGTCCAACTTTCTCCAAATTGAAATCCGATTGAACCGTTGGGGTCAGACAGTCAAACTCTACACAACAATATAATTTTCATTAATTATTGACAAACTTTATAATTCACTTATTTTTGGGGTCCTTCTCAGTAATTAATTAATTATAAATTAATTAATTCTGATAGGCCTATTTTCGGGGCGTTACAGGTTCAACAATGCTTTATTTGTCAGAAAAGTAAATATGAAGCTCTTTCTCCTGCTGGATTGTTACAACCTATACTTGCCCCCGAACAGATTTGGGAAGATATATCTATTGATTTTATTGTGGGTTTACCTAAATCTGGAAATTTTGACACTGTTGCGGGTGGTTGACAGGTTGAGTAAATATTGCCATTTTATTGCACTATCTCATCCTTATTCTGCCAAAACTGTTGCCGCACGCTTTTGTGAACATGTCATCAAGTTGAATGGTATGCCCCGCTCCATCATCTTAGATCGAGATCCCCTTTTCCTAAGCGCTTTTTAGCAGGAACTATTTAAGTTGAGCCAAACACGTCTGAGGATGAGTACTGCTTATCACCCTCAAACAGATGGACAAACAGAGGTTGTTAACCATTGTCTTGAAGCATATCTGCGTTGTTTTGCACATGAACAGCCACGTACTTGGAGTAAATTCTTGTGTTGGGCTGAATACTCATTCAACACTAGCTTTCATTCTTCTGCCAACACAACACCCTTCAGAATTGTGTATGGCAGGGACCCACCTCCATTACATCCCTTTACTAAGGGGGAAAAAAACATTGCTGAACTAGCAGATCAGCTCGAAACAAGAGATCACATGCTTCGTTTACTTCGAGACAATCTGAAGAAAGCTCAAGATCGAATGAAGTCTTATGCAGATCAGAATCGGTGTGAACTCACCTTCAAGGAGGGTGATGATGTCTTCCTTTGAATCCAGCCTTTCAAGCAACACTCACTTGCTCCTAGAAAGTATACTAAGCTTTCTCCAAGGTTCTTTGGTCCATATAAGGTCTTGCGTAAGGTGGGCCCGGTTGCTTACGAACTTGAACTCCCTCCATCAGCAAGAATTCACCCAGTCTTCCGCCTCACTGCTCCGTCCAGCTCATGGATTCTCGGCTACAGACCCACCTGCAGATTTACCCCTTTGAGATGACTTTGTGATGCTCTTAGAACCCGCCCAAGTGCTAGCACACCGTTGGAAAGCAGCCCACCTAGAGCTCCTGATTCAGTGGAAGTCCAGACCCGTGGAGAAGCAAGCTGGGAGGATTATGATCTTCTATTGCAACAGTTTCCTGAGTTTCGCCTTGAGGACAAGTCGGTTTTTCAGGGGGAGAGTATTGATACAAATCCCAAACCAATCACGACTTATCAGAGGCGTAAAAAGAGGGCTTAAGTTTGACTGAGTTTAATTCTTTTATTAGCACAATAATAGGGCTTACGTTTTGACTAAGTCTGATTAATTTAAAATGTGTTCCCATTCTGTTAGCACAATAATTGGCATCTGTTAGCACAATAATAGGTCCACTCTTGCTGTCATGGTCAGTTAGTCTTATCTTTCTGTGAGTGCCTAAAAAGTAGGGATATTTGGTTATTTCTTTGTATTCCAGCATTATAAATATGCTAGTCCATCCTCCTCGAAGGATATCAGTTTATCAATATATTTCATAGCATTGGAGATACTCCTTGGCTTCTATTACCTCTTCTCGGTGAGATTCTTATTGTGAGAGGGTTAGGAGAGAATTCATTCTTCAGTTTCTATCTGTCATTTTTCATAATACCGTCCTACTCCTATCAGAAACAGATATATACGTAAATCTCAATATTAGAGAACACACACCTAGCTGCGTTGAGCTGCTGTCAAAACACAACGAAAGAGGAGCTAAGCAAAAGGAAAACAGTTGGGATGGAGACTGAAAACAAAATAAAAATCACATAAATTCTTAGTATTAGAAACAAAAACTTCCGGCATAATCCTCAGAGCTGGAAATCCCTTAGGTCCCGTTTGGTACATGGAATTCAAACTATGGACTTGGATTTGGGGACTTCAATTCCAATTCTGGAGTTTGGTAGCACAAAAGTTATGTGGATTTGGAATTGATAGTACAAAAAATGAATTGGAATTGACAGAATTCAATTCTATGGAATTGAATCTCATGGTATTTCAATTTCAATTTCACCAATTCCTTATATCAAACGAACCCTTAGAGCTCTAATAGTTAATGGAATTCATTCGCTTGCTTCGTAATAATGACAACAATGTTTATATACAGAAAAATCTCTCATTACTTTTGGTTACTTCGTATAATCGTATCAGTCAAAGACCACCCACCCCACAAATTGCTTATATCAACGCAGCTGAAAAGAAAATTTCACTCACTTGAAGACCCTGACAATTAGGGCAGCCACAAGATCAATCATTCCGAGATTTAAGTGTCCGTAGACATTTTGTCTGAACAGGACATGAACTCTTCATCCATGTTCACCTTTGGGATCACTTCTACTTTTCTCAATGTTTTCAGTTTTAGCAATCCCATCCAAATCTGCTTTCAAGAACATTTGGTAGTGTCTTCTTCAGGAGTATTAGCGTCCAGATTCTGTTGAGAATAAGAGGATTTATTCTCTTTCACTCCAAGATCACTGCAGGCTGGAGCAATCTCTTTCACGCCACCACATGTTTTTAAATTAACTGACGTTTGGACCCAAGTAAACTGCATTGTATGACCCTGCCAGCTTTTAGCATTCAAAAATGCCCTTTCGGCAGACAGGCGTGAAGTGAAGGATATCTGAGCAGATATTTTAGATGTGTCCAGCTTATCCTCTACCTCTGGTTCTTCAAGCTCCACAGAAGAAATTTCACCAAAAGGAGAAAAGTGTTCCATCAGAAGAGCAACCTAGGAGACAAGACACCAATATAAGTAAAAAAAAATGAAGAGTATCAACCTAAAATCAAGAGCATGAGATGGCAGAGATTTATAAAACATGAAGATAAGTGTGGCAAGGTTGCTAATATTCCTGGAACACATAGCTGGTGAAACTGTTCTGAGAATCTAAGAAATGGAAACAAGTAGAAAGAAAGATAATAATCACACAGAATCTGAGAAGAAGTCAAAGCTAAATTGGAGCCTTCAAGCAACCATCACAGCTTAGGCATCAGATGAACATAAATTGATATATGACAGGAGAAAATACATGAAAACATCTAAACATTGACAGGAAAAAAATTAATGATATAAGTTTAAGGTGGGAGGAGAGGATGCAGAAAAATCACATTTGCCAGCCCACTTGGTACAGGTGGATTGATTTTGAACGTTACGGGGCGGTTGTCCAGTTTGTATCTATTGAAGATAGGAGCCCCAATAGACCGTGACGGACGAATTGACTGTTTCAAGCTTGGTGGTTCGGGTGTAGCCACAGCAGAAGATGATTTTGAACAAGAGAGCAATGCATTATGTGCCGATATATCGCTATTAGGCACTGCATCAGTATGTTCGGATAGTACGGCAATATCATGTTTCGGGGAGCTTGATGCTTCAAACCCTGTGAAATCAGCTGCACTTTCTACTTTATGGTTCTTGGCAACATCTTCAGTTTGGCTTTCGTCTATAAGCCCTGAAGCCTGCAGAAACAATTAATTAATTAATCAAGTATACAGCAACTTTTTCCTAGATAAGTTACACAACAACATTACCCCAGTGCCGCAAAGGCTCCCGCCCATTGCGGTGTAAGGGAGGTCGGATGTACACAGACTGACCCCTATGTTGAAAACATAGAGCGGTTGTGTCCAGATGACCCATGATGAGCGTCAAAAGTCGCATTGACTAACTGCTACTTCACTATTGAAAGAAACGCAAACAATTAAGAGCCATTTTGTGGTATTCCAAATACCCCAAAGCCAAAAAATAATGAATCTTTGGCTCGATCAGAGATGGGGCTAAAAAATAGTCCCACAATAGATTATGGTTTCACGCAATGTTTTCATAACAAAACCCGACCGACTGGTGCAGCTGGAAACTGGAAGGTAGAGCCTGAAAATGGTCCAACCTCGTAACCCCAACTATAACCGCCTAAACGGGTGAAAACTGGCAAACCAGTTTGTTGAATAGTAATTACCTTTTAGAATATTTTAGAAAAGCAAACTGCCCAAAGCAGTGAGCTTAGCTTGCTATAAAACTCACTTATGACATGATGACATCATCAATACGACTTGTATTCCTATAAATAAGCTTCTTGTGCAAACCAATTTAAGGGATAATATATTTACTGAATAATATATACACATTTCACATGGTATCAAAGCCATCAAATCAATATTCCAAAATAGCATGATGGGAACTACAGCTCCCGACATAAACATTAGACACGTGAATCTGTTATGCACTTGGGGTAGTTATTCATCAAAACCGTACCTACCATCCAACTTGCCTCACCATGACTACCTCAGTAAAGCTCAAGGCCAGTCACCATCACACACAGCCAGGTGAAATTGGAGAAAAACACCAATAAGGTGTTTTACAGATCTGTTCATTTCCACACACCGTGTTGACATCGTCTACACCTGGAGAATCATGGCCTTGCGCGAACCCAATCATACCTCTCTGGCCCTGTTCCGACCACCCACACACTATGCATTGCCAGCAGCCCTAACTAGCAGTCCCGAGGGCCGCCTCCATATAGTATTTAGACCTTTTCTTTTCAGGGGCGTTCTATCTTCATTCAACAACTCTAGTCGCCTTCAGTACCTTTCCTTTTGGAAACTTGGAAAGCAATGCCAGAATCATCACAAGTGTGATGTTTTGTCATAACAACGATCACACTAAGCGTAAGTGTCGGGAGATACGCAGAAGACCTCAAAATTCAGTCATCACTTCGCAAATTCTGTTGTCTCTGCATGTGATTTCACTAACAAAATTTGAAGAACACCACACATTTAAGGCATTTATTCTTTCATTAGGTATGTCTCGGCCCCGTGTTTCAAACACTTCAAGTGGAGTCTTCATTCAAAGGCTTTCGATCATGTCTTTGGTACTGCCTAAAGCCTAGTCCCTTCATTTCATTATACAGGTCATGTTTGTGTTTGTGCGTTATTTACGAAAAGGTAAAGTGAGAGAAGAAATTGTGGAGTGAGGAATAAAAAGGGTAAAGTGAAAGACAAGAATAGGGTGAGATTAAAAAAGGTGAAGTGTGGTCATGTGGTGGTAGGTTTATGGATGTACTTCTAAAAAGTAATGGGGATATGAAACATCCTAAAAAAGAAACTGGTGCTACTATTGTGAAACAGGAGTAATTTTTATCCTTTGTCAATTATGTCACAAACCTAACATCTAACATTAAGCACTCTTGTCAATACACGAGCAACATGGATAAGATAGGCTCTCCCAGACTCATTCTTACCATTGGGCAAAGTGGAGGCTGGCTTCAGGTGTCCTTTGCGCCTAGAAGATATTGACAAACAATAAAGGAAAGTTTAACCTGACAGTGGTCGGGCCAGCTATGTTATAGGGAACAGAATGCTAAGTAGTGAAGACAACTCATGTTCGTCAGCTTCAAGTGGCAGAGATATGGATGTTAAGGTGGACGGTTATTCTGGGAAGAGTGGGAGTAGTTCCCAGGAGGTTAGGCAATGTGAAGCCAAGTTGAGACTTGAGATGGGTTGGACACATAAAGGACACGTAAAGAGAAGCGAAGAGGCCCCAATAAGGAGATGTGAGGTGCTTGTGATACCGCGCGTGAGAAGGGGCAGATTCCTAGAGCTAGACTTTACAAAGAGTTGGAAGGAGGTAATTAGAAAGGACTTGCTACTTTAAGATCTTACTGAGGATATGACCTTAAATAGATACATCGAGAGATCTATGGATAAAGTAGTTGGTAAACCTCTAGGCCCTAGTTAGTAGTTTCTGTTGGCTTGTTGTCTTAGGTCATCGCTTGTGCATGTGTACTCTGAGTGTTTGGAGTCTATTTGCTAGTGTCGGTATTTATGTTCCTTGTATCTATGCTCTTACTCTGTGCTAATGTGTTTACATTATTGCTGCCTCTGTATTTTGAGTTGGGGGTCTGTTGAAAACAGCCTCTACATTCAAGTAGGGGTAAAATTTACGTGCACACCCTCCCCAGACCCTACTTATGTGGGATTTTAATGGGTTTGTTGTTGCTGGTCAATATTATACATGTTCAACATAACCCATTTCATCTTGTGTCTATTAGCTAACTAACCTAACTTATTCGATTACTTGATTGTTTTGTAATTGTTAGAGTATTTGGGCCTACAACCATAAGCTTGAGCTTTTGGTTGAGTTGGTTCCTTGACATGATATTAAGTCTTGTTGACAAAGAAGTCACGAGTTCGAAATTCACTGCCATACAGTTTTAAAAAAAATTAATTTTCACGTGCAAGGCTCGAGAAAAACAAATCTCGCCTGCACGTGAGGGGGGCATGCTAGAGTATAAAATCCTATTCTGGGCATACAACCACAAGCTTGAGCTTTTGGTTGAATTGATTCCTTGACAGTAACCTTTTATACTGATTATGTGCTCATACATGATGGTTATATGAAGGAATACATTTGGCAGCAATCGTGACACTCAGTCGTACGTACGTGGAAGATGCTAGTCTCAAACACTCACTAGACAGACACCTCACCATGTCTCTGTCAGGGGGTTCAACTTTCCAATGGAATACTAATCAGAATGACCCAATACTGCTGCACATTCCCTTTATTTCCACGATGAGGTGTCAATTACTTGTGAACTTGTGTTGCATTTCCCTGACTATGTCCTATGCATTGCTACTTGAGGACATTTTCCATGAATAGGCCGCAAATGCTTCATATTAAAGGGAAACTTGTGGTTGAATGTGCATTTCGCGATGGAATGATTATTTTTAAACATAAGGTCTTCTTAGTGCCATTTTCCAGATTGTACCTCATTTGGTCTCTATTTTAATTCCATTGCATGTGAAGGAGTTGAAAACACACACCAGCATCTATGTTGGGAGTTCAACTGGGCAAGTATAAAAGCATGGTGGCCAACTCTATCCGGGATTTCCAGACACGCAAGAAGCGTATATGGCTTAATCTGCAACCACAAGCATTTTGCAACCCCTTCCTATCTCACAACACATCTGGGCTAATATATACAAATGGACTTTGCCGAAGCCTTACCAAGCGACCACAAAAAATCTGGTACATTGGTTGTACTTGAACAGTTGCCCAAAGGCCACTCATTTCATTGCTTTAGCTCATCTATTCATACTGATCTCAGTGGAAAATATTTTGCCTCCAAAATCTATACACAGCAGTCTTGGGTGTACTTGAACATTTTCCCAAAGCTACTCACTTCATTGGATTGGTTCATCTATTGTGTAAGCCACGTGGCGCAATAAGGCTTAAGCTTCAGTTTACAAGTTCTAATCCAACTATGTTATTTGTCCTTTATAAAACGATAGATAATTAAAATTGGTAAGGAAAGACAAACATTGCCATAATTAAATAATTCTAATTCATGCTAAATTAAATTAAATACGAAAGCCATACAAACATATCATCCTTATCTTAGCCCACTGATTCAATCCCAAAAATCACTCTTACATAAATTTATATTCTGGGATTATAGTTTCCACGTGAAAAGCTCATTCACAAAGGTGGGAGTGATAATGTGGAAGCTTTCAAACACATGTTCCTAATTTTTGGTAAAGATAAATTTGGTCTTTGTCATTAATCCATTGCTCAAAATTGCGTATTGCAGTTTTGAGGCGTTTTTTGCTAAGGCGTATTGCGTAAGCCAATCCTCAATTTTAATGTTTGAAAATATGCATTTCACATATTTGTAAATCTTTTTTGTCCTTCAATGGTAGTTGTTGAGTCTATCCCATATTTCCATGCTGGATCCACCTTTTAAGCACTCGGTTTTACTAGAAAAAAATCTAACACTATGTTTGTTTGGAGGTAGGAGGAGGTAAAGGGAGGTAGATCTAATATTCTACCTTGTTTGTTAATAAAAATTGTGATAGGTCAGGTGAGGGGGAGAGGTAGAGAGAGGTAAGGTTACCTCTCAACAGTGCATTTTAGATGACCGCCAATTTGGCGAAATATCAAGGTAATAAGCCGCTGCCCTTCACTCGATCGCATGAGAAAACCAATAGCCATCTTCTTCCAGTTCCGATTGCCATAGCTCAATTTTCACTTTTTTTTTCCGATCTGCTATGTGCTTCCGGTATGTTTCGATCTGCGATTGCCATAGCTCAATTATCTCCATAATCTTCCGCCGTCTGCTGCTCAATTCCGAAAAGATTCACCTACTTTTTTTTGTTCTCCTACGCTCTTCAATTCCAATAGCAGCTCACTTTTTTTTGCACTTCAATTGCAATTTTTTTCTTCAGTTTCTATATTTCGTTCACTTTTTTTCAGTTTTCACTTTTTTCACTTTTTTCGTTGCTCACTTTTTTCACTCTTTCTTTCTCTCTGCTTACTTTTTCCTGTTTTTTTTCTCAGCTTTTTTCTGTCTTTTTGTGGTTTTTTATTTTCTTTTTTTTTGTGATTTTTTCTGGTTATTTTTTTTTCTGTTATTGTACTCTGTCTTTTTGTGATTTTTTCTGTTCATTGATTAGTTCGTTGCATTTATATAAGATGATGTTACGTAGAAGTTTCGTCCAAGAGTGTTTATTTAATTTTAAAATTTTACATTTAAAATTTAAATAAATTCTAATAAATTAAGAATATAATGTGAAAGGTAGTTTCATATAAATACATCCTAAACAAATATAAAAATAATCACAAGGATATTTTAGTAATTTTATTTTTTTCCTACCTCACGTTACCTAATAAATATCCAAACACAATTTTTTAACTCATTACCTTACTTTACCTACCTTCTATTACCTACCATTACCTACCTAATAAAACTTTTACCACCTCCAACCAAACGTACCCTAAAACTTTATGTGCACACAATTTTTCAAGTTCGAATAACAAATTTAAAACAAAAAAAAGTTAATAAGAAAATTGTAACAACAAAATATAAATGGGTTTAACAAAAAAATTACTATGTATGAAGAAAACAAATTTCAAAAACTCCGTACATCATAAGCCTTGAAAATTTAAGGAAAAAAACTTGAAAATTACGGAGTAATAAAAATAAATACTACAGATGACATACAGAGTAATAGAATGTGTATACTATATAAAAAAACTCACGATGGCTTGGTGATGGAAGAGGAGCTCCAGGAGAAGCAGCGGCAATGAAAGACCTTAAACTCGCTAGATGCCGCAATAAAATGAAATGGGAAGAGGGGATAAGCTCGTCTATGGTAAGAATTCAGGGAGAATTTAAGTAATTTGACTTTTATTACATAATAAAATTACTAATTTAATCCTAATCTAATTTTTTTGGAGATAGAACTGCATCCGCAAACTAGCTCCTCATTGTGTACGCCTCAGGGCTTACGCAATCGCGCGCCATAGGTGAGCAACCGAAATTGCGTAAGGCTAGATCGCCACAGGGCGTTTTTTCCAGAAAAAATCCATAAGGCGCGCCATATGGCGAGTTTCGTCATGCCATTTTAAACACTGCATTAATCATTTTGAATTATCTTCTTCAGGTATTAGCTTTTGGGTGACGACTTAGCAATCCCGGTATACATACCAGTACACTTGGGCCTAAATAGTCTAGTGTATCGTTGAATAAGGAATGCCCCATGAAATTCTAAATATGGTTCATGATCCTAAATGTGACAATTTACCCAAATCATACGACTATATCAGGGATCTGGACCTGCAAAGAGTAGCATAAATGAGTCAAGGCGGATTTCCTAAGATCACTAGTATTACACTGTTACTCTTTTTTCTAGTTATGATTTACATTTAATTTGTGTTATTTCCAACTAGAGATGGCAAATATGTCAGGTTATTCGGGTTCATGGTTGTTAAGTCGAAAAGTCGAGTTGAGTCGGTTAAGGGGAGACTAGTGGACTAGTCGACTAGTAGGCCTACTAGTCGTAGACTAGTCGACAAATCACAATTCGTATTGAAATTTTTATCATTATATATATCCTCATTCACCCAAGATAACTATATATATTTATATGACAAAATATCATTACCAAAACAAAATAATGTTTAAAAGAAAAATTAACTGAAACAAATTATTAACTGAAATCAGCAAAAAAGCAAAAAAAAAAAGCAAATTATTAACAGAAAAGACCCAAATATTAACTGAAATCAGCAAAAAGCAAACTGAAAAATTAAGAGTATAATATACTTTAGTACTTTACTGAAACAAATTGAAGAAAACTAAAAATTATGAGTAAAATACACTTTACTCAACCAAATTAAGAGTAAAATATACTTTACTCATAAAGAATTAGAGATAAAGAAATCTTTCCCATGATAGAGAGCATGTGAATCACTGAATCCTAGAGAGAAGAATCGAAGATGGCGATGAAATACAGAAATAGAGGTGGGAATTTGAGAAGGTTAAAGTTGCCTGCTATTGTGTCGCGAGAAGGGTAAAGTCAACTGAGAGTGAGAAGGGTTAAAGTTGATGGAGGCTGTTTTATGGAGTTTTTTTTTTAATTTAATGAAATTTGGGTGGGGTTGGGTTGAGTCAAATTGGGTAGGTTTCTGTCACCGACTAGTCATCGCCTAAACACGCCTAGTCATTGCTTTGCTCGTCCAGATGACTAGCCCACCCAAGTCGCTAGTCGAGAGCAATTCGCCATCTAGAAAACCGACCGGACAAATAGTCAGCAACTAGTTGTCAACTAGTCGATAACTTGATAACAATGTTCGGGTTCGGGTTGTTTAGTTGTCACTGAATGAACTAGTTGGGATTAAGGCGCTCATGATGATGACGATGATGATGAGAATACGAGTTTCTCGCAGTAATATACTCCGTACTAGCTTCGTCCCAGTGTGTTTATCATGTTTGACATTTTGCAGTCAAACTTGACAAACTTTAGTCATAAAAATCAAATTACAAATTAGTACAAAGATGACTTTATTAGATTTATCTTGTATTAATATATTATTGTATTAATAATATACAATAATATATGAATGAAATCATTATTTAATTGATAAGCAAAGTTTGTCTAATACATTTTGGCCCCAAGTTTGCCTTTTGGCCGCCCGCCTCTCATCTCGCCTTTTGCCTTTCAAAACTATGAATGAAATCATTTTCATACTAATATCTAATACATTTTTATTTAATTGATAAGCAAAGTTTGTCTAGTTTTCCCGGAAAAAGTCAAACGGGATGAATACTCTGGGATGGAGGTAGTAATACTCCATAGTATTATTCATTTAATTGATGGTCAAAGTTTGTCTAGTTTGATTGCAAAAAGTCAAAATTGTTAAACACACTAGAACGGAGGGAGTAATATTTTATACTACTTGACTAAGTAACTTCTACTATTACTTGACAAAATAAACTGCCTATATATTTATGTAACCTTTTATGTTTTTTAAAAGTAAAACCGATTTGATCCCGGTCGTAACATTAGTGAGCCATCATACCGGCACACTGTCAGTTACGAAACCATTGGTTTTGAGAGTTTGGCAAGGATAGTCCGAGAAACAAATTGACATCAGAAAGGACAAGATTAGGTAGCATATTATATAACGGAAACACATAAATAATGTCTAGCTTTTCTACATAGAAAGCATTTTGCTTAACTAAAAAAAGTGAATGAAAAAGAAAGAGAACTAGAAATTACTTGTTTCTCAAATTCAGCCAACTGACGACGGAACTCATTCCGCTTCTGATCAAGCATCTCCTGCTTTTTACGAAGTTCTTTTAATAGTTCTAAACCCTCACTCTTCTTTTGAGGTGCTGGACCTGCAACCACAGGCTTAAGAATATTGGAGATTGGTTTCGACACAGATTGCATACTTTCTTTTCCTTTATAAGTAACAGAAAGATGGGGTGGGGCAGAAGCAATGAGCATTGAAGGATCAGCTATTTGTGCATTATTGCCACTGGTTACTCCGTTGTGTGGAATGTTGTCCCTGTTAGCCCACCAAAGCTTGATAAAACGGTTACCCATAACAGCATCAGGCGCCTTTAAAGCTGCCTCGGCAGCTTCTCTCTTAGAAAATTGGACAAATGCTCGATCACTTTTCAGTGGAATATAAATGTCAATAACCTCTCCAAATTTTTGAAAATGTGAGATAATAGCTTCCCTTCTATTGTCATTTTGTGGAATGCCACTGACAAACAGAGTACAATGAGCCTTTTGAGAAGATTTCCGGCTATCACGTCCAGAATCATTTTTAGACTTAAAAGATGCTCCTGTTGCTGAATCAAGATTTTCTAGATTGATATTCTTCCCAGAACTGCTAGACGGATATGGTTCTTTTTTAATTTCTCTTTCAATTTGACTAGAAGAATCAATGTTTGGTCCAACTCTTTCTTTGATTTCAGGTTTTCCTTTTGAACTGTTAATTCGACCCCAAACACCTTGAGATACTGTGTCTGCCAGGTTACTTCTAGTTGGGTGTTCAGTGCTGTAGCAATCAGATAGCCCAGGCTTAACATGATTAGAAGAACCATGGTCCATCTGCGGAGCAGTTTCATCAACACTTGTCCACAAGGGTTGATCAGGATCATATACATCAGCACCCTCAGCCAGAGATCTTTCAATAGGTGCCACACTAAATCTTAGGCCATCATTGTTCATTCCAAATTTTCCATCTTTTATATGAGGTTTACTATTTACCAATGAGGAAGAAGGGTCTACTGCAGATAAAGCTCCTTGTCTAGTAGCTGTTCCAAGCAGGGGTGCATTAGGAAGTGTAACAGGGAGATTAAACTGAGATAGACTCTGCAATTTTGATATGCCAAAAGTCATGTACGTAATCATAGTATTCCTCTATTCACATCCACTATAAAGAAAAGTAGACAAATTAGGTATGATGGCTTAAAGTGATTTACTAAAAAATGATCCAGCACGGAACTTCACAATGACAAATTTTAACAAAGATTCAATATCAAATTTTGAAAATGGATGTATAAAAACCTAAATGCAAAAAGGAGAGGTCCATTCAGTTCATGTTATAAAACAGAAACTAGGTATTGATAATGATAGGGTGGACCCTTTTGTATGCTTGGACAACATGCATTCAAAGTTGTTGTAAGAAAATGAGACAGTGGTTGTCTCTGAATGGTCTAAAGTTCATACACAAAAATGCAGATGTTTAACTAATCAAGCACGTAAATGTCAATGCCTGGAGGATGGATGACTTTCCGTGGTGTCTAACTAAAACAAACAAAATCAATTAGCCAAATCAGAAGTAGACTGAGAATTAAGTCTCATAACATGTAAATGTGTATATGACAACCACATCAATTTATTCATCATCAGAATTTTCTGCTATATTCATACAGCAACAATATTAGTTATTTTCTGTACAAAGATGTCTACCTGAACATCCTCAATAACAATACGATTTATTCCATGCTCCATTGGGCACATATCACCTCTTAGACAAAATCCACGTTCCTCAAAGTCTTTACATCTTTGCCGAGGTATGCCCAACCCAATTGCAGGATTCATGGGTGTCCTAAGTGCTCCTTGCAAGGAAAGGGGATGCAGTGGATCCAGGCCTGCAATAGGCATTCTGGGGATCATGCCAAACGAATTCCAATGTGAATTTGGTCCATTAGAAACATTTGGCAAGCCCCTTCCGACAAAGAAACCAGGAGGAACAGGAACTTGTTGACCTATCTGGGTTGTAAGATCAATTGGGCTGAATCTAGAATCATGTTGGCCCCATATACTAGGTTCCCTCCCGCGACCCCTGACTGGTCCAGATTCTCTAGACAGTGTTTGGTTTGGCCATATTCTTGGGTTTGCATCTTGTTGAGCTCTGTAAAGTGAATTGATACCTCTTCTCTTCTCAAAATGTGCAGTCCCCTCTTTCTCAAAAGCATAAGACTCGGAGCCCCTGCACATGTGTCCATTTCCAATGGGCTTGTTGCGTTTCCGGCAGGGTCTTGTAATAACTGATTCAAAAGCATGAATCTCAACAGACTCAGACTGTGCATCCCTTCTTCGATGCTTATGATTACGATCATCATCTTCTTCTTCGCTTATTTCTTTCTCTTCTTCAGGGTCACTATTACAATCAGGAGAAAGAGCTCTCTTTGGAGATGAAACTTTTAGCTCCATAAAGTAAAGCAGTCAATTTGTATTTATGAGATCAGAAACTTCACTCTGGGCAGATATAGTCGAAACAATTCATTGGGAAAACTTAACTCAGTTTGGTCTCTTGTCCTTCTCCCTGAGGAACATCAGCAATATGATACACAAATCAGATACAGAGTATTTTATTTAGGGCCAAGACGTTTGAAACAAAAAACAATGATGAGTGTCAAAAGAAAGACCTTTCTTTTGGTACAGACATAGATTCAGAGGTAGTAGTTTCTGTATAGTTGCACAGGACACTTCTAATAGTTTGGGAATGTTTTTAAACCCAATGATAGCATGAAAAGACATGAGCCAATCCAATATCTTGCACAGGACATGTCATATATATGTTGCACAGGACACTTCTAATAGTTTGGGAATGTTTTTAAACCCAATGATAGCATGAAAAGACATGAGCCAATCCAATATCTTGCACAGGACATGTCATATATATGTTGCACAGGACACTTCTAATAGTTTGGGAATGTTTTTAAACCCAATGATAGCATGAAAAGACATGAGCCAATCCAATATCTTCCGGGATGATATCTCACTCAAAAAATCTAAAACACCGAAATCTCTTTTTCCCGTTCACCAAATAAAAAATTAATAGATTATCCATATTCAAGGAAAATAGTTTCAATCATAATCTGAGTACAAGGATTAGTTTTACCTATATTAGATTAGTTTTAGAGCCAGCAGTCTTGAACAATCAGCCACTAAATTTCAGTGTCAACCTAAAAATTGAATTATCAAATAACAGAACAAAAGTAGTTACAAAACTTAAAATGCAAGCTTGTGTTCTAAACATAATCCCTAATCCAAATGGAACATGGAACGCAGAAGATGAGTATGGGATACATCAACAACAATAGTCCGAGATACAACGAGAGAGGGAAAGAAAAACAAAATAACAAACCTGCATATAAATTGGAGTCTTAAGGTTTCGATTTTCCTTGCCGAAATTGCAAGTGTTTGTTTGAGCAATAAGGCGTAGAACTCCAGCGAGAGCTAGGTCGTACTTTGGCATTCGTCTTCCTATCTTTGTTTTCCTTTTGCTTCTTTTTTTTTCTTTTTTTGTTTTTATTTTTCTTTTACTCCGTATATTTCTAAGGTCATACTTCCTTCATCCCTTATATTTGTCCACATTTGACTTTTGGAACTATTTGACTTTTGGAACTGTTCATCTAAGCACTTTGACTCATCAAATTCTCTTAATGTGTAAACCTAAATATAGTCATGTGTGATCTTGTTTGATTTGTCTTAACATATAGATTATTAATATATAATTTTTATAATTTTTTAATATACAAATTACAAGATAAAATGGATTAAAGAAGTGCATTGGATAGTGTGTAAAAATGAAAGTGAACAAATACAGGGGGACGGAGGGAGTATCTTATCTTCAATGTATTCTCATTTTTTTTGTTGAAAAAATATTACTGTACTTACTTCCCCCTCCTAAACATTTATATTTTACGCAAAACGAGGTAAAATTTCAAGTTTTTTCAGTTTATTTTATTAAAAATTCGTTTATAAATAAATAATAAACTTACAAATTTCAAAAGTACATCAAAAATTCTACAAAACAAGAAGTGGCAAAAATATTTTAATTGATCAAATAGTCAATGAAAACACACAAATAAACAAAAGTTTCCGTAATTTTTTAATAATAAAGTGTGTAAATCATTTAGAGACAAAAGGAGTATTACTTTTTCTTATTAGAATCAAATCATATCAGAACTTATTCCAATCAGATGAACACCATTCAGATCAGATGAAGTGAACCTAAGGCTATATTCTCTTCAACTTATTCTTACTAGTATTTTAACCACGTGCCATGCACGGGGTGGATTTTTTTTATCTTACAATTTTTTTCGTTACAACAGTTTTCATAAATCAAACAGATTAAAACATCGATCATAAAAGTTAAAATAATGATACAACATACAGAGTATAACATTTGCTACTGAAAATTCGACTATATACATTTGAAAATTCTTAATTAAGTACTACTCCTTCCGTCCGGAAATAAAGTTCCCACTCTACGCTTTTTTTCGTCCGAAAATAAAGTTTCCATTCTACGTTTTCATACCCGCTCTTTCTAAAATACCCCTTCTTCTCCTCCTTTTTTCTTCCTTTCTCCCCTCTTTTCTCACAGACCATACCCCCTCCCTTTCTTTTTCTTCTTTCTCTCCTGGTTCTTTCTCTCTTCCCCCTCCCCCTTCTATTTTTTCTTCTCCTGATTTTCTTCTTCTTCATTTCTTCTTCCTCTCCTTTTTCTTCTTTCTCCCTTTCTTTTTCTCGGCA